GTATTTCTACCACTATATCAATAATAAATATCAATAATAAATAATATTAGCATTTCTTTATTTCCTTCCATTGTTAGTTCCTTTTCTTTACCCATCAAAATAAAATCGTACTGCATATAGTCTTAATGTGCATTTAGAAAACGTCTCAAACTTTTTTTTTTGGAGTGGTGCTGAGTGAGCATAAAACTCAGGTATGCCAGAAAAGTGCTCTACCACTGGACTACACCTCCAGCCCCTCATAAATATTTTTTTATATTCTTATATGCTTAATGACTTTGCAGGATTTCATAAGATGCATGATTTTTGTTTTTATAACTGATTTTATGGGTGCAACTTTATACTTAAGACTTAGTCTGCCTGTTTCCCCATGGTTAATTCTTAGAAAAAGAATAATAAGATTTAATTATATCAACATTTTAAAGGCTTTAAGCATCAGGTTCTCAACTTACACCTGGAAATTACCTTTAGCAGTCTGAGTGGTTAGAAACTAAGAGTATTACAATTAAAAGTAAGACTGTTTTCCTATGTTGCTAGGAAAAACTGGTATCTTGTTTATCTGTTTTTTTTTCTTTGATTTATGATGAATTTATTCATTTTGTTTCTTAAATTTATCTTCGATCCTAACTTCTGATTAATATTTGAATTTTCTGAGTGTATAGTACATTCTACAAATTCACATTAACATGTTTGCATTGTGAGGAATGAACAGAAGTGCTAATAGTGTACATTTAAGAAATAATGAGTTTTTTTTGCCTTGTTAAAACTCAGCAGTCAGTAAGCATCTAATTAGACTAAATTCTTACAACTGTAAAGTTTTAAGCTGTGTTTGACTCTACAGTTAACTTTGTTGCATGATTTACTGACTTGGGGGTAGGGGGCACAGTTTTTTTCCTTGAGGTGGTGAAAACCTGAGTATGACCACCAAGAAATGGAGTCTAGGTTGTTGAGTCATCCTAGGCAGGGCTAATACAGAAATAGCCTTGTGAGAGAAAAAGAGGCGAAGGCAAAGAAATTATTTTAGGGATGTGGATTATCAAGGAACTTTAGAAGATTTGTGTATATTGTTTGCATATGTAGAGAAAATAGTTTAAATTATTGCATTTACAGTGAATGTAGTTTGTTTAATAAGAATTTGAGTACATTTTAACATACATATTTGAATGATCATTAGGATAATTATCAGCTTTAAAACAAATTATTCCCATTAATGGTTTGAAAAGAAATTATTTATAATAAATTGAGCTCCTTTTTCTTTAAGATTTTCCTTTTAATAGTTGATTGAATAAATCAAAACTATTAATAAAAATGGCCAACATATCTATAAAGCAAGAGGTTAAATTTTTCTTATCACTTTGAAAACTTACCTAGGTTTCTGGGTATTTACTTAGGTGTGGAAAAGGAAGCATCTGGCAACAAATTTTATACTGTTCTTTCTTAGTCTAATATTTTTTAGTCTCCTTTTAGGAATATAGTTGTGGATATATTCTTTATTCTTACCTATCCTTGTAGTGACCTATATTTTTACAAGGTTAAATGTGACTTAAAATATAAGAGCCACATCTAAATTTAAAATTTTTAAATTTTATTTATTTTTTGTATCAGGAATTGAATGAATGCAGGGGCACTTAATCGCTGAGCCATGTCCTTGAGATGGGGTCTCACTAAGTTGCTTAGGGTCTTGCTAAATTGCTGAGACTGGCTTGGAGCCTTGGATTCTACTGTCTCAGCCTCCTGAACTGCTGGGATTACAGGCATGTACCACCATGCCTGGCTTCTAAATTTTATCTAAATAAAAACCTTACAGATAAAACCAATGTAAATCTTATGATGCTCACTTACAATTATGTACTATTTTGATTTGTATTTAAATTTACAAAAAAGTGGATTACCTGTTTATCACTTTTTTTAAATTATGGAAATTGTCATTGTTTAGAGACTCAGATTTTTTTTTTTAATATTTATTTATTCTTGTTTTCGGCGGACACAACATCTTTGTTTGTATGTGGTGTTGAGGATTGAACCCGGGCCGCATGCATGCCAGGCAAGTGCGCTACTGCTTGAGCCACATCCCCAGCCCGAGACTCAGATTTTTTTTAATTGGGGTGTGTATTATTGAGAGAAAGAATGTTGTTATACCAAAGGAGGCTTTGTGTAATCTTTTCAACTTCTGGTAGTGACTCATTAGTAATTATTGAGAACATTTTATTGGATTGCAGTTAGCATTTTAAAGAAAGAAATAGAAGAAGATAAAACAAATTAGAGTGTATCATGTCATGGACTTTTTGGTTACTGTATATAGCATATTCTGGGTACACTATAAGGCATATAGTATTATGAGAGTATAGAATCCGTGGTTTGTTGCCATTACACAGCTTGTTACTTTGTGTTTCAGTTTTCTCATTTGTAAAATGGGGATAATGGTACTTCATAAAGTGATTGTGAAGAAAAAAGAGATCATGTCTATAGTTTTTAAAACAGTGCCTTTGGATCCCTAGCCTAGTGAAAACAAAAGTGCCTTTAAGATAATGGTTTTCAAGCTGGTTATGGTGGTGCATACCTGTAATCCCAGCAGCTTGGGAAGCTGAGGCAGGAGGATTTCGAGTTCAAGGCTAGCCTCAGCAAAAGCAAGACACTGAGAACTCAGTGAGACCCTATCTTTAAATAAAATACAAAACAGGACTGGGGATGTAGCTCAGTGGTTTAGTGCCCCCAAGTTCAATCCCTGGTAGCCCCCCTCCCCGCAAAATTCTCTAAAGTTGCTTTGTTTGAATTAGTATTCAGTCAATACGTTACATTTAGTTGATCCATCTCTTAAGACTCTTTTTTAAAAAAATATTTCTAGTTGTAGATGGACATGATATCTTCATTTAAGTTTTCATGTGGTACTGAGAATCGAAACCAGCGCCTCACATGTGCTAGGCAAGCGCTCTGCCACTGAGTCACAACCCCAGCCCGAGACTCTTTTAATCTATAACAGTCTCTCCTCCTTTAAAAATTTTCTTCCAGTAATTTTAGACTCATAGAAAATTTGTATAAATAATACAACATTCCCATAACCCTTCACTCAGCTTTCTCTGATGTTAATATCTTGTATAACCAGAGTACAATTATCATAACTAAGAAATTAATATTCATATAGTAGTGCTGTTAACTACCTTACAGACTTCATTAGAATTTCACAAGTTTTCCTACTCATGTCCTTTTTCTATTTTAGGGTCATCATCCTGATGCCACATATTTAGTTATGTTTCTTTATTCTTTTTTTTTTTAAATACCTTTATTTTGTTTATTTATTTTTATGTGGTGCTGAGGATTGAACCCAATGCCTCACAAGTGTGAGGCAAGCGCTCTATCACTGAACCACAACCCCAGCCCCTATGTTTCTTTATTCTTTCCCAAACTGTGAATAATTCTTCAGCCTTTCCTTTTATCCAGTGACCTGGAGATTTAAAGGGGACTGACTGATAAGGCATTCTGTGGAATTCCCCATAACTTGGGTTTGTCAGGTGTTTTCTCATAATTAGATTGAAGTTGTACATTTTGGTTAAGAATGTTACAGGTCTGGGGTGTGTGTGTGTGTGTGTGTGTGTGTGTGTATGTATACAAAAGTTATGTGTCCTCAGTTGATTATATCAGGAGCTACTGTGTATTGATATGAATTATTTTAAGTGATGTTATCATTTGTCAGTTGACTAAGGTAGTATTTGCTGGGTTCTTTACTGTAAATTTACCATTTTCCGTTGTAATTAGTTAATATTTTGGGGAGATACTTTGATACAATGGAATACCTTGTTTCTCTTCAAACTTTAATCCACTGATTTTATTTGGGATTTTCAAGCTTTCCTCTCTGTAAATAATTTAAAAAATATAAACCTCTAAAATGACTTGAGACATGACTATTAGTAATAATAAGTTCAAAACATTAGGTAAAATGTACATGAGTATAATATGGCATTATAGGTGTTGATTTTTAACCTTTTCTTTGGAATCATGTGTTTGTGAATTTACAGGATTACAAAGGATTACAAATCTGAATAGTGTAATGTAATAAGTAAAATTGTTTTTAATTCTGTTTCTTAAAACTTTGAAAGTAATTTCTTCTATTATATTATCAAGAAGGAAGTACCAGGTCTAAGGTTCTTACCTAAGAAGGTAAGAATAGTGCAGAATAGCAAAGGTAGTACAAAATTTACAACTACTACATAATTTCTCATCTCCTCTACTGTGGTCACAAAAGAGATGCAGCTTCCGGATATAAGGAGCAAACTGAAGAGCTTAAGGTTGCAAAATTATTTTAGTATATGCATTTTTTGGGGGGGCGGTACCAAGGATTGAACCCAGGGGCACTTAATCACTAAGTTACAACCCCAGTCCTTTTCATTTTTTTTTATTTTGAGACAGGATCTTGCTAAGTTGCTGAGGCTGTCTTTGAACTTTTGATCCTCCTGCCTCAGCGTCCTGAGTTGCTAGGATTAAAGGTATGCATCACTGTGCCTGGTTTAGCTTAGTATATGTATCTTTAATATCCATAAATATTTAAAATTTCACAAAGTGTATACGTAAGTATGATAAAATACCACATTGGAAATACATTATGGTTATTAAAACTACAGAAAATATAAGCTCTTCAATTTGCTCCTTGTATCCGGAAGCTGCATCTCTTTTGTGACCACAGTAGAGGAGATGAGAAATTATGTAGTAGTTGTAAATTTTTCACTACTTTTGCTATTCTGCACTATTCTTACCTTCTTCTACCTCTCTTTCTCATTTTTTATGTAGAGTTAAGAAAACTCTAATCTTAGAGTGGGCATGGTGGTGCACATCTGTAGTCCCAGATAATGGGGAGGGTACTGCTGGATGATTGCTTAGGAGCTCGAGGCCAGCTTGGGCAACACAGTGAGACCTTGTCTCAAAAGAAAACTTTTTAATCTTAAATATCACCCTTTGGAAAAAGTAGACTATTAATTAATTCTTTTTCTTTTGTTTGAAACTCAGATAATGAAACTGCAGTTTACACATTAATGCCAATGGTTATGGCTGATCAACACAGGTGAGTGTCTTTTTCATAAATTTATGCCTTAGAAGTAAACTTTGTTCTGAATATTATGCACACAGACACACACAGATTCACAGTTTGCACATAGATATGTCCTGAGGCCAGTTTTAACATCTCTATTATAATTTTCTGTTGTGAAATAAGGAACAAAATTTCCCAAGAACTATATCTAAGCTGTAAAATTTTATGGTAGGAGATTTTCTAAATGAATAATTAGATTTTATGTTCAGTATTTGATTGGTCATTGAAATAGAAAAAACATTGCAGTGGTTTCTTTTAAGGATTACTACTGATCTTTATAGGAAAGATTACATCTGAGGGTAGCTTACTTTCCTTTTGTGCTTCTACTTTGATGTTCTTTTTATTGATGTAGTGTTGACACTCTTTTTATAGAGGCATGTTTAAAATACAGGCTTTGTGAAGGGATTTTTATTCTTGTAGCAGTCAGCTCTGCTGTAGTTGGCTAGTGGATAGTTGGGTGTACAATGAGAAGAAAGTGAAGAAAAATTATTTTGAAGCAAGTTTAAAACATAAGTTATTTTTTGGCTTTATATTTTCTCTCTGGTATATTTAAAAGGTGTTTTTGTCTGACTTTTTTTTTTATTTGGCTAAAATTAATAATAGGTAGACTCAACTTTTGGCTAGGGGACCAGCTATGCCTATTCCCTTTGTTTCTCAAGGATCTGGGGAGAGCTGAAGCCAATGTACTCTGTTAGATATCCTCAGAACATGTAACAGCACAATTTGAGTGGCGAATTAGGAAACCTTCAGCACCAGTTTATGGTGAGGGCATTTCAATTATGGATAATATTTTCTGGCTACCATTCTGTACTTTAGAATAGTGCTTTACTTTTTGGTTGATAAGAGATAGAACCTTTTGAATAATTATTATTATGTTTTTTTTTTTTTAGGAAGAATTTCTTATTTTTTTTCCTAGTTGTCCATGGATCTTTATTTTATTTATCTATATGTGGTGCTGAGAATTGAACCTAGTGCCTCACATATGGTAGGCAAGTGTTCTACCACTGAGCTACAGCCCCCAGCCCTTGAATAGTTATTAAGAAGACTTAAAGAGCTATTAACTTGATTTATTATGTTTAAAATTTTTTGTTTACATATTGATTTCTTTTTTTAATCTTTTTTTTTGGGGAGCATAGGTCTGTTTCTGAACTACTGTCAAATTCAAAATTTGATGTCAATTATGCATTTGGACGTGTGAAAAGAAGCTTGCTTCACATTGCAGCAAAGTAAGACTAAAGATATTTTTTGTTAAAATCTGGTCTAACCTAAGAATCATGAGTTTGACTCACCATTGTCTCATAATATTTATGGGGAGAGATAAGTACACGCAGTCAAATAGTCTTTATCCTGTTTAGGAAATAGTATGCTATGTATTCTCTCTAGATAAATGATTAACTTTGGGATTGAACTCAAGTCTCATGTTCCTATTGTCTTAGCTTGTTCTAGGTTAGGTGTGGGGTTGTTTTTTCTGGCATACACAGAGTGTGAATTCACCCAATTTTTCTTTTATCCCATCAATAAAAGGGATAGAAGGAATAAGCTAAATGTATTTGAAGTCATTCGTTTTATATTTTTTTCCTTTTTTTTTATTTGTTGCTCAAGACAATACAATGATTTTGACATATCATACATTTGATTCAAATAGGGTATGAATTCTCATTTTTCTACGTGTACAGATTGCAGGATCACATTGGTTATACATCCATGTGTGTACATACAGCAATCTATATTTTTATCTTTGTGGGAGTACCATTTTTTTTTATCTGTAGTCTTCTACTGTATAATCAATCAGTTAATTTATTGATACCTGTTCTTCTTTCTGGCTATAGGTAGATGTGTTTAAATTAATTGTTTATGATTAAGTTGATTCCTAGAAATCCAAAAATTGAGAGTACTATATAGCTTCTTTTATAAATGAATTCTTTATTTTGCTTTATTTGAACATCTCAAATCCTTTATAGCTTTCCTAATAGAATGTACCATTTTGAAGATAGAGGGTATTTGTGACAGAAGTTAAATCAAATTGTAGATAAATACAGAGTTTTAAAATAATGTTGTTTAATAGAAGTTTTTGTTTTTTATTTAAACTTTGCCAAGTGTGGCTTTTGTTGAATGTATTTTAACTGTCTTTTAATATTTTTTAGTTGTGGATCAGTGGAATGCTTGGTTTTGCTGTTAAAGAAAGGAGCAAATCCTAACTATCAAGATATTTCAGGCTGTACACCTCTTCATTTGGCAGCTAGAAATGGGTAAAATATTTAGTTTCCTAAAGTAGCTAAAGCTTTATTATTGGTATTTCACTCTACCTTGATTTGATGACCTTCCCCTCCATAATTGCCTTAGGGAGAAATTAGAAAAATAATACATTTTACTTGTTATAATTTTTTTGTTTCTTAAGGATATATACGTATTTTTTCTCTTTAAAGTGAGTCTTGGATCATTGTTACATTTAAAAATATCATTTAATAACTTATTATTCACTAATATTTTTCTTCCTAAAAATATATTGCAATAGTTCATCATTACTTGTATTATAATGACATTTTCTGAAAAGCATAATTTTAACCTCTGTTTTTTGTTGTCTTTTTTCACTGCAATCTTTTGCCACTCATAACTTCATGGCTTAATTTCCAAATTACTTGTTTAGTTAATTTTAGTAGTAGAATTAAGGACAGTGAGCACATTGTACCAAGTTTACAGTTGTTTGAGAATAACTGTATTGATGTAAACTTTCTAGTTAAGGGTAACTTTCAGTGTTAAAACTTTTTTCATTTTAACTGTGAAAAAAAGTTTCCTAAATAAATGATTGTGCTTAAAAAAAAAAAAAGTATTTTCAAAAAGTGAAAAACTTTGTGTATTGAGTATATTTTTGCTTCTTCCTGCCAATTCTTAATTCTGGTCATCATCTAAACATCATTGTGTTTTTGTGTGCTATTCTAAACCCTACTCTAACTTTTATGGTTTTTGTTTTTCTTTTCTATGAGGAATTCTGAGTGTCATACTTCTGTGTCTGCCTCTGCTACTGTTTTTCATCTAGAATTCTGTTGGACCAAGAAATGATACCAAAATGATTGGAATTAAATTTAAAATGAAAATAAGTAGATTTTGATTGAGGCATTGAGGAACTTTTTTGAGTACTATAAAACTTCTTTATGGAAGTACATTCCTGTTGTGTCTCTTGATTAATCTTGGAGATATTTTTGTTTCCTGTTCTAAACTGAGATAAGATTACCCACTGCATCAATCTGAGGCACAAATTTTGCATATAAGGATGAAAATTGAACCAAAAAGATAAAGAACCATAGGGATGTCTGGGTTGGGCAGGGGAAAGACATAGTCTTTTCACACTGTCTGATGTGTCTCCTTTTATGCATTTTTAACACATGAACCAGCTTAATTGTCTGTTGTTTTAACTGATAACAACATGCTGATTAAACAGTTGTTTTTATAAAAGTCTTTAGGTATATTGTAGTGTGTCAACTCAAGATCATAGAGCTGAATTGATCTCAGATCTTTTGTCCCAGGTGTTAATAGGATAGTGACAACAGTCTTAACAGTCTTTTTTTTTTTTTTTTTTCCTTTTGATACTGGCAGTTGAACCTAGGAGCACTTTACGACCGAGCTATACCTTAGCTCTTTTTGTATTTTATTTTGAGAGGATCTTTCTAAGTTGCTTAGAGCCTCACTAAGTTGCTAAGGCTAACCTCGAATTTGGCAATACTTAGCTTCCCAAGTTGGTGGGATTACTGGTATATGCCACTGTGCCTGGCTACTGACAATAGTCTTTGAAAAGTTTATATGTGTTCTGTCAACCATCATAAAGGGAAGGACACAAGGCAGGGATTAAAAAGTCCGCTGTAATTGTAGGTAGACTTACTCATACAGTTTCAATGTGAGGATCAAGAAGTATGTTTTAGACTTGAAAGACAGGATGTTCTTGATCTGCTAAAAGGATGTTTTATATATTGTTTTCCAGTATACAGGCCTTTTAAGTACATAGAAAATAGCTTTGATCACTGTTTCTGTCAATAGTAATTGAAAAGACCATTATACTTTAAAGATGAAGAAATTTGGCAGGTATTACATGATTCACTTATCAAGTCAGCAAGAGGAGGAATTAGAAGAGTTCATCACCCATTTGCTAATTTGGTTGCCTTTCTATTTTTAATAAAGTGTGCTTTTAATATCCAATATTTAAATATTTTAGCTTTTTAAAAATTGAATTGATGTCTTGTACAATATAGAGATGCTCAGTAAATGTTTGCTAACTGACTTGAATCCTTGTTACTTCCTAAAGCTATTGGTGTTTTCAGAAATAGCTGTTTTCTATGACTTCATTATGAATTCAAATTTGTCCATACTGAAGTAGAAGTCACAGGAGAATTCTACTACTTTTGCTGATCCATTAGTTTTTCTTTTGCTTCCTTTGCTGTCATTGTTAGATGGATAATATATTTCTGTTGGCCTGCTTTAGTATTTTTCTTGTCACTATTAGTGTTGTGTTGGATTGCCTTCCTTTCTAAAAGAAGCCCCATTAAGCTTCTACAGAAGCTGAGAATTTTCTTTTTTAACATCCTCAACTCTCTTTAAAAAAAACAAAACAAAACAAAAAAAAGCAAAAAAAACTTTGAAATAGGGTCCTCTTTGGTTGCCCAGGCTGGCCTCTAACTTGAGATCCTCTTACTTTCACCTTTGGAGTAGCTGGGATTATAGGTGTGCCCTACCGTGCTTAGTGAGAATTTATTTTCTAAGATCTTCATAATGATGTGTTAGATGAGGAAAGTTTGTAAATATTCAAACTTAAGAGTTTATTCTGAGCTTTATTTTCTTCCATTTCTTTGATCATAATGTGATTTATTTATTTATTTTTGGCACCAGGATTGAACCCAGAGGCACTTAACTCCTGAGCCACATTTCCAGCTCTTTTTATATTTAATTTTGAGGCAAACTAAGTTGTTGAGGGCCTTGCTAAGTTGCTGAGTCTGGCTTTGAACTTGGGATTCTCCTGCCTTAGTCTTAGCCTAGTTTATAATCTGACTTTTAAATGACATTTAACTTTGTTTTAAGTGTAAAACTCAAAACAAGAAAAGTAATTTGCAAAAAAAAAAAAGTAATTTGCTAGTCCTTTTTTTCTTTTAAAAGATTTATGTGATCATTAATAATTTTAATGATTGAGTAATGGAGTTTTGAGAGCCACTATGGGTCTGGCTATGCTTGATTATGAGTTGATTAAGGAAATATGATATAATACATAGCAGAAGTTTATGAATTAGTTGAATAAATGGTAATATATACATATCTGCCATTTACTCTGCATATACCACTATATACTATGTATAGTATATTATTAATACATATATTAATACTATATGCACTATTTTATATGTATTTCTATTTATTCATTTAGGTCATAACTTCATGCCACAGATTATATTTCCTCAATCAGTTCAGTGCTGAGCATAGTTAAGCCCGTGTGTGTGTGTGTGTGTGTGTATTGATTGCCAAATGAGTGATACCAGTAGGTAATATGCTTCCAGAGGAATATGAGGTTCCATGTAGTTCACAGGAATTCATACAGACTTTATTAATGAAGGGGAATTTAAGATGCATATTGAATAGTAACTAGGAATGGATAGGCTAAGAAGAAACTTTGGGAACAAAATGCAGTGAGTGGACTGTACAAAAATGGGCAAAATACTTGAAGAGACATGTCTCTAAAGATATGCAAATGGCCAATAAGCACATGAAAAGATGCTCAGCATCACTAATGAGGAAAATGCAAAATAAAACTGCAGTGAGATACCAATTCATAATCATTAGAATGACTACCATAAAAAAAAAAAACCCAGAAAATAACAAATATTGGCCAGTATGTGAGGAAATTGGAACCCTTGTGTAGTTGGTAAGAATGTAAAATGGAAGAGCTGCTGTGGAAAACAATATGATAGTTCTTTGGGGCAGGTGTATGTTGTTCAGTGATAGACTGCTTGTCTTACATGCATGAGGTCTTGGGTTCAATCCCTAGCACTGCAAAAACAAACATGAAAACAAAATATGGCAGTTCCTCACAATATTAAAAATAGAATTATTATGTGATCTAGCAGTTCTACTTCTGGGTGTGTATTCAGAAGAATTGAAAGCAGTGTATTGAAGAAATATTTCACATACCTGTGTACATAAGCATTATTTATAATAGTTAAAATGTGGAAACAAGTGTCCATCAACTGATGAATGGCTAAACAAAATATGGCATATATACATAATGAAATATTATTCTGCCTCAAAAAGGAAGGAAATTTTGACATAAGCTACAACATGGATGAACTTTGACTTTGTACTATGTAAAATACCACAAAACTTTACTCTTAAATGTTTAAAATGATAAATTTTATGTTATGTGTATTTTATCATAATAAAAATGAATGAAAAAAATGAAGTGGGTAGAGAGGAATGCATAGACATACATTTTACAGGTTTTCTGATTGTGTTTTTATAACTCAGTATTTAGTATTTTCCAATCAAGAATGTGGAATACAACATTGAAACATTTTGCTATGCTTATATTTCTTATGGCAATTACTATTCCATTTAGTCAACACTAGAAGTTTCTGCAGTTTGAATAAGTTTGTTCCAATGACATGAAAACTTAATGGTTATTTCTTTATCATGTTATCTTTGAATCATAGAAACAATTTTATATTTTATTTCAAATAGTGTTCATTTAAATATTGCAGTTATAGTTGAAAATACAGATATATATATCAACTAATGTTGATTGTAATTAATATTTCAGTAAAATAATTGTAGTTTGTATATTTTTTCTAGTATCAGTTATCTGTGACTGTCTTTCTTTTTAGGCAGAAGAAATGTATGAGTAAATTATTAGAATACAGTGCTGATGTCAACATTTGTAATAATGAAGGCCTTACAGCAGTAAGTGCTATTTTATCTGAGATTTTTAAAAATAATTTTTTAAATACAATCTTGAATACGTGATGGCAATGAACAATGTAGTATGAGTGTTTCTGTGAGATCTTTATAGTATTTAAGAAGGTGTAGAATGATTTGAGATATAGTTTTCAGTTAAGTTGTAGTTCACTTCTCTTTATTAGATTATGACTATCATTTATTTTGAAGTCTTATTTGCCTAACTTTGGTCACTGACTTTCAAGGGACTTCTTAGGAGCATCTCTGCTAAGATATGTTATCAGTTCATTGTAGGAGAGCTGTTTTCATTATGTCCATTTGAGTACTGTTATATTTCATTTTAGGAAAATGGTGTGGCTAGAGAGAAAGGAATAAAGTAAAAACGAGAATTAGCACTTCTTATAATCCCTGGGTTCAGAGGTAATCACAGTTAATATTTGGCCTATGTTCTTTTAGATGTGTTATATCTTAAACTAGTATTTTTATCCATTTTGCCATATTTTTTTTGGTACTGAGGATTGAACCCAAGGTCACTTTACCACTGAGCTACATCCCTATCCCTTTTTATTTTTTATTTTGAGACAGGTCTTAAGTTTCCCAGGCTGGCCTTAAACTTGTGGTCCTCCTGCTTCAGACTCTCAAATTGCTAAGAATACAGGCATGCACCCCTATGCCTGGCAGGTTAATCTAGTTTTGAGCCATATAAATATTGTAGGGAAGGTGGTATGAGCTATTACTAATAGGATTGTTGAAATCTCAGAATTTTAACCAATCATCATCATCATTTAATAGAGCCTTATTCGTTTTGAAAGTAGAGATAAAATAGAATTATTGAACAATAATTTTGAAGTCATGGCAGAAGATATTAAGTATTATTTGTTAAATTGAATTTCACCTTCCTTTGATAATACTTGTAGATTTTTATCTTTTTTTAAAAAATCTATTTCTTTATCAGAATTTTATAACTTATTTATTTAATGTGGTGCTGAGGATTGAACCCAGTGCCTCACACATGCTAGGCAATGCCCATCCTGATTTTTACCTTTTAATTTGTAAATAAAGAAGAATATTGACTATTTACTTACCAAGCCAGTTTTCAAGGCCTTTCTGATTAAAGACTTTTGGGGGAGATATAAGAAAAACAGTATTTTTTATATATGTTTATAGGTATATATAAAATTTAAAATTATATACAGAATATAAATCTATGTATATTTTATATATGTATTTTAAAATATGGTAAAGTTTATTAGAGGAGAAAGAAAAGATACCCTCAGTTGAGAGGGCAGGGTCCTTTCAGGAGAGGACCTTCCTTAAAATTTGAATTTTTTTGAGTGGCTTATTAAATAATAAGCTTAATCATGATTATTATATGGGCTCTACAGGTTTTGTTATATATTAGCAATATAATATCATCTACTCTGTAAGGAAAGATTGTGTTCTGTGTATCTACAGAATTAGTGATTTGGTAGGTACCACAGAGGTATGAACCCTTTGAAATGATGTAGATCTTTAGGATACTACCCAGTTTAGGCAATATAAGGTGTCTGTTGTTAATTTAATCTGTTGACACATATGTTTTTATCTGCTAATTTCTTTGCTTAATTCCTGAAATTCAAGGAAGATGGAGTAGAAAATAATTTTAAAATTTTTATTGAATAAAATTATTCATGCACAAACGTAGAGTCAAATGATTTGACAAGGGTTGGTGAAGGAAACAAGTCTTTTGGCCTTCCCAAACTTGTCCCCCTAAAGTCTACCTATCTCTAGGCAATTCTTCTCAGCTATTTTAATGGATTTAAAAATTTCATATCTTTGTGTCTAAATATTTCTGAGTGCTAATTTTGATATTTTTTGTATAGAATATATAATGCACATTTTGCTATAACATATTCCTGCCAATAATATCTGAGTGATACAGTTTTTCAATTTGTTGCCAGAATTTGCTGCAAGCATTTGCTGCCATTTTTCCCCCCCTTTTGTACTGGGGATTGAACATAGGGACATTCTATTGCTGAGTCACACCCTCTGCACTTTTTATTTTATTTTGAGATAGGGTCTCACTAAGTTGCTGAGGCTGGCCTTGAATTTGTGGTCCTCCTGGCTCAAGCCTTCCAAATCACTGGGATTACAGATATGTAGCCAGGAAGCTTGAATGTTTTTTTTGTGGAGTATTATGATGGATGTGTGATCTCATTGTGCTTTTAATAAGCATTTGTCTAATTGTCAGTGATGCTGAACATCTTTTCATAGGCTTATTTGCCATTTGTATATCATATCCTCTTATATGGAACAAAATGCCAATTCATGTCATTTATCCATTTTCTAATTGGATTTTTAAAAAAACTGTTGTGGGAAGTCTTTATATATCCAAGAGAAAAGGGCTTTATCTCAGGTATATGATTTTTAGATATTTTCTCCCAGTCTGTAGTTTGCTTTTCAAACTCTCATGAGGATCTTTTTTTTTTTTGAATTTTCATCAGGGTCTTTTGAAAAGTAAAAGTTTTTGATTTTGATGAAGTAGACTTTATCAGATTTTCCATTTATAGATCATGATTTTGGTATAAAGGCTGAGAGCTGTTTGTTTAGCTCAACATCCTGAAGATTTTATCCCTTTTTTTCTAAAAGTGTTAGTTTTACATTTTGCATCTATGTCTGTGATTTCTTTTGAGTTAATATTTGTATAAGATATGGGGCTTAGGTTGAGGTTCTTTTTTTTTTAATTGGCATATAGATACTCATTTATTTCATTTAAAAACTTTTAATCTTAAGATATTATTTGTGAAATTATAAACTCATAGGGGACTACAGAAATAATAAAAATCCCATGAATGTTTTTTTATCTATGTTTCTTTTTTTAAAAAATATTTGTTTTTTTAGGTTTAGGTGGACACAATATTTTTATATGGTGTTGAGGATTGAACCTAGTGCCTCATGCGTACTTACTAGGCGAGCACTCTACCACTGAGCCACAACCTCAGTCCTTGTCTATGTTTCTTTAGCACTGTTTATTGAAAAGGCTGTCCCTTCTGCATGGAATTGTTTTTGCATCTTTCTTAAAAATCAGTTGGGCATATTTACTTGGGCCTTTTCTGTGCTTTTCATTCATTCCATTGATTTATGTGTTTACCCCTCTGTGGGTACTACACTATCTTCTTTTTTTTGGTGGGGGGGAGGGTGCTGGGGATCGAACCCAGGGCCTTGTGTGTGCAAGGCAAGCACTGTACCAACTGAGCTATATCCGCAGCCTTGGTACTATGCTGTCTTGATTATTGCAACTCTGTAGCAAGACTTAATATCACAAGAGTAATTCCTCCCACTTTAATTTTTCTTTGTGAGGTTTGTGTTAGCTATTCTGGTTCTTTTTTATTTCTATACAAATTTTAGGGCAAATTTGTCTGTGTCTACAAAAATACCTTTCTGGGATTTTGATTGGAGTCATATTAAACTGAAAGATCAATTTGGGGATAATTGATATCTTATGTTGATTGAGTCTTCCAATCCATAAACACAGTGTATCCTTCCATTCATATATATATTTGATTTCTTCATTAGCGTTCTGTACTGTTCAGCATAGGGATTTTGTGCATGTTTTATTAAGCATTTAGCCAAGAATCTCATTTTCTTTGGAGCAGTTGTGTAAATGGTATTGCGTTTAATTGTGTTTTTGCATGTTTAGTGTTAGTGTATATAAAGTGCAGGGGTTTTTTTTTGTGTGTGTTAATCTTGTATTGTACAACCTTGCTGAGCTCACTTAATTAGTTTATTTATTTTTTCTCTTTTGCTTTGAGTTGTGTTATCTGAGTCTTATGTCTCTTTCACTTTGCTGGAGCACATCAACTGGTAGTTTCCTGAGAAAGGGTGCATGGGAGATAAATTTGTTGCCACTTTGCATGTTTGAATATGACTTGATTCTTTGCATTTGCACAATTATATAATTGATAATTTGGCTGACAATAAAATTCTAGGCTGGATATCATTTTCCCTTTGTATTTTTAAAGCATTGCTTTGTTGTCTTCTAGTTTTCATTCTTGAAGTTTGGTGCCATTTTGATTCTTGAGCCTTTATATGAAATCTGTTTTTTTTTTTTTGTCTTTAGAAACTTACAGAATTTACTTTGTGCTTCAGCATTCTAAAATTTCATGATTATATGTTTTGGTTGGATTTATTTTATTCATTTGACTGGATAACACTGAGTTCCAACAACCTAGAAACTTATATAATGGGAGCTCATGGAAATTTTCATACATTATGACTTGGATGATTCCCACTCCCCTGTTCTCTCTTTTCCTAACTCTTATGTTTGAATTTTAGACCACTTGGACTAGGTCATCAATTTTATTATGTTTTCTCTTTTGTTCTGTTTTTTTTTCTTTGTGCTTTATGGGATACTTCTTCAACATCATCATCTAAATCTTCTTGCAAAGTATTTGGTGATCCTCAGCCTAGGTACCATACTATTTTAGTCATCAAGTACTTGATGACGTAATACCTGATGGAGTAATCTGTATTTTGATGCCATGTGTCTTTCTCATGTTAAAAAAAAAATGGAAAAAGTATATGGGTTTAAAATATCTTTAATTTGCATATCATGTTCATTTGAGATAGTAGCATTATTTTTTGTTTTCTTATGAAATATTCTTGCACAAGTATTAAGTAACTAAATGACTTCACAGATACACTGGCTGGCTGTGAATGGGCGGACAGAATTGCTCCATGACCTCGTGCAACATGTCAGTGATGTCGATGTTGAGGATGCGATGGGGCAGACAGCACTGCATGTGGCCTGCCAGAATGGGCACAAAACAGTAAGTACACCCATGAAGGCTTGAAGTTGCTTGTGCTTGTTTTGAAAACTTCACTGTGTGTTTTGGAACATGAAGCTTTATAATAAAATATTATTTTGTAAATCCTGTGGGCTTCTGGGGATTAAATTTTATGTAAGACAAAGGGAATAGAAGAAAATAATGCTATTAATTCTTCAAAATATTTGTAATTTGTACTCTAATTTTATTTCTGATTCATAAATCTTAATAGCTAAATTAACGTTTTTTCGTGGTATTAGAACTTAAACTCAGGACCTTGTGCATGCTAGATGAGTACTCTGCCACTGAGTTACATTTCTAGCTGTTTTTTAAAAAAACTTGTTTTGGGACAAGTCTTGTTAAGTTACCCAGGCTGGCATCTAACTTGTGATCCTCCTACCTTGGTCTCTCAAGTAGCTGAGATTTTAGGCATGCTCTACCATGGCTGGCTGAGTACACTAAAAATTTAAAAATGTATTTACATGTTTTCTAAGCAATTATAATTTTTCTTCCAGTTTAAACCTCAGTTATTGGAATTAGTGAGGAAAAAGAGTACTGATATTGCTTAAATAGTCTGGAACTTGTGAATACCAGTGTTTGTTTATATTTTTTGTCTTTTATCATCTGAAAACTAATCAGTGTTTTCAAGAAGTGTTCCTTCTCTTTGGTTCCTTCTCTTTCTGAGTCAGTATTATTAAATTTAAAAAATATTCTATGTGAAGGAAAAAAAAAAAAAAACATCTGAGATATCTTGAATGATCCATTTTGTTTTAAAATGTGTGTGATGCTGGGAATCAATCCCAGACACTGGTGAGGCAAGCGTCTACCACTGAACTACATATTCAGCCCCAGTGACCCAGATTTTTAAGGAACTACTGCATATTTGAAAATAAGTTCTATATATAGCTCTCACAGGACAGAAAAGCACCTACTTAATTATAAAGGATCTCTGCTGTACCAAGTGAACAGAGTATCATAGTAAATGATACTTGCAGGCCTTTCTCTTGTATAGAAAACCCCTTGGGATTCAGCTTAGAAATAATTGACAAAAACTAATATTTGTTGCCTTGAGCTAGTGTAGAAACAAGAATTACTAAGAATACTTTGGTTTAAAACATGTGCATGGCAGGCTGCATTAAAAATTTAGAATAGCTTTTTGAAGTTATTGAAGATTAGGTTGTATGAGTATAATATACTCCATATGGTTTACAACCTAAAGCAGGTGTGGTAAAGTAATAGAGAATTCCTCATAATCAGATGCCTTTGAACAATTGTATGCTCAAAAGATTTATAGAGAGCCTAACTTTACTAATGATGAGTTTCACAGGGTGAGATTTTTGCAGATATAGTAGAGGAGAAACAATACAGAAGCCATATTGACTTGTTGATTGCATTGGCCCGTGAGGTTCCTCTTGTCATAGTTGATCAATTGGGGTTATCTTTGAGGTTTGTGTACAGATAAAGGAAATATTTAGCACTGCTTTCTGAATCATTGTATATATCTTTCATTTTTTTTTTCAATCTGGACAAAAGAGCCTTAAAAATTAGTCTTATCTCCTTGTCTCCAGGCTGAATTATACTTCTAAAAGTATGTTGATAGTTGTGCTAATATTGCCTTTGTTCTAGAATTCTGGAACTAGTTCATATCTCAGTGGATTAGCTATCCTTGTCTCTTGAGTTGGATATAATGTACTGTTTTGTAAAATACGATAAATAGGGATTAATGACTTTTTAGAATCTTTGTGTATCTTTTCAAAGTTGAATTTGGAGTGATGTATTTTAGTGGCAAGTCAAAATGACCTTTTTTATTATCTCAAAAGTAGCCAGCACTTGCACTAATTCACTAGAAAATCTCTAGAACTTATGTCCATGTAGAAAAATACTAGTATATGTAGGTTTCAAGATTTTAAAAAAATTTTTAATTTTAAAATCTTGCATATTGATTGTATATATTTTGTCAGATAAAATATTAAACTTTCAAGTGGGAAAGAGATTGTATTAAAAATATTTAAAAAGTTTTTCAAATTAAAGAAACCAAGATAATGAAGAAATCCTTGAAATTTGCCTTCTAATCTCATTTTAGTGGAAATCTCAGGAGTGTATGAAAAGATTTTGAGCAACTGCCCAAGAACCTTAAAGCTTTGAAGAATTTGTAATTGAATATTCTTACTTGATGACCAGACATGCTTTTCCAGATTTATATAACTTTGTTTTAAAGAGAAGATTTGGAAAATACATTAATTTTTGTCATAATTAAGAAACTGAATAATTTTTACTATGATTTTATATATAAACATCTGTCAGAGGTGAATATCATAAAGGCCTCATTATCCTTTTGTTAGAAGGATATGCTTCTGGCAGATGAAGAGTGCATTCTGGCTTTTTTGTCCTTGCAATGTAATAACATCATGATCTTAATTTACTTCTATTCCTATTTAAAAATAAGATGAAAGCAGTGATTATAATTAATAATTTTATTTTTATATAGTTTTCTTTATATCAACTATTATACTGCATTATTAGGTACATACTACCAGAATTATGCTTTGTCTTTGAATATTGATTTTAAGAAATCATTTCAGACTATGTGGGAATGATGGTACATGAGAATGTGGCAGGAACATTGCTTGAACCCAGGAGTTTGAGACTAGCCTGGGCAACATATAGAGATCCTGTCTAAAAAAACCCAAAAAACCCCCCCAAAAAACAAAGCAACAACAACAACAAAATTGTTTCAGTTTTGTTTTTTCAGTCTTTGACAACTTTTTCTGCTCTTAACCTTCTCAAAAGGTATATGCTGTCTAGTGATGATATAATTGAGGAAAATGTTGTGAATACTTTGATGGACATTTAACAGCATTAATATCTATTGCTGTTGTTACTGTCATTATTAATAATGTATGATGTGATTGTGTGAAGGTACAGTGAGCAATATGTAGACCGCTTTATTCCTTTATGTTTGTGTAAGAAGCTAGTCTGTGTTGTTGGATTTTGTTGTTATTCTTTTTAAATTTTATTTTTAGAATGTTTAGTAAATAATGTACCCTTATTGTACATATGAAATTTACTCAATTTTTTCTTTTTGTGACTATAAATTCAACTTCCTTTTTTGGTAATTTTTCCTTTTTTATCCTGTAAGATTTATAAATATGTGGAATTGCCACAAATGATTGTTTATTGTCTGGAATAACTTGGATTTAGTAACACTAGAGAACTGTCATATAGTTTAATCAAAATCTAAATGTTACATTACATAGCAAAATTAATTGAGGGATTAGTCTACAGTTTAGTTAAAAATAAATTATAGTTTATAAGAATAAATTTTATGTTCCTGAATTTATTAAACTGAATACGAAGCTTCTCAAGCAATATAAAGTGATGGTTGTACTCTCGTTTGGATAGATTTACACTCTTGTAACTTAAAAGCAATTGTTTTGATACTGAAATTGGACTGAATTTTGTAGATTTTATAGTTGACAGTGTTTACCTACATTCATTTAGCTCTCTTGGTTGTTGTATCCTTAGCTATCTTATAAGCTTTTCATCCAGAGAGTTACCAGTTATGTGAGCTTAATGTAAAGTATTTGCAAAAATATTAATCAGATTCAGCTCTGAGGCCCAAAGGTAGGTAGACTAATATTTCACAAAGTACTTTTATATTCAGAGTAACTTTATTTATTTCAATGCTAGAATTCTCCTTAATTGCTTATGGGAAATATGAACAAAAAAAATAGAAAGTCCTATTACTGATATTTTTCCTAACACAACTGAAGAATAATCGTTATTGTGGGATATTGAATACAGGCTCAAACCCTCAATATATTTAGGTGAACAGGTTGCTAAAGAATCAGTCACTGATTAGTGGTTTGACAGTGTATAAGTTATGTGTACATTGTCATAAGTCATATCGTCAGAATTAATTTAATAAAAAATAAAGATGCTTTTTGGTTATTTAGTTCCCTTTTAGCAAATGATAATACCACAACTTAGGCTTTTGCTTATAGCTTTATTATTGAATATCTATTGCTTTTTACTTTGACCAGCATTATTTTGAGAGTTGACATTAATGAAGAAGAGCTGCTTTGGATTTTTTTGCTTTGTGATTTATCAGTGTATTGGACTCAGGTGGTTTTAGTCATTATCTTCAGTTAAATGACTTTTGAGATTGACCCAGCATTAGCTTTGTACATTAGTTTTCCACTTAGGAAACTGTTTTATCATTTGAAACATTGTGAAGGTTATTGAAAGTGTGTTATTCCTTAAGGATCTGTTGAAGACCATATGAAAATTTCCTTTGTATGCTTTTCTTTCTAAGGTACCTCCTGAGCAGTTTATTTTCTAAAGAGAAGGGACCCCTATTCTAGATATTTGGGAATCAGGAGAATAGTTTTTGCTGGTAGTGGTTGAGGAAGATTGAGCAGGAAATTATAATTATGAAAATTTTAAGAGCTTATTTTGCTGATGTCATTTTATTCACCTATAGTGATCTCAGTTCACTATAGTTATTAAAATTATGTATGTTTTGGATAAACAGCTAACTCAGTCACAGATATTTATGTTGGTCTACATGTTTACTTTTTTTTTTTTTAATATTTTTTAGTTGTAGATGGACACAATACCTTTATTTATTTATCTTTATGTGGTGCTGAGGATAGAACCCAGGGCCTCACACATGCTAGGCGAGCGCTCTACCACTGAGCCACAACCCAAGCCCACATGTTTACTTTTTTAAAAAAATTAAAAAAATTTTTAGTTATAGATGGACACAATACCTTTATTTTATTTATTTATGAGGATTGAACCTAGTGCCCCAAGCATGCAATGCAAGCCTGTATCCCTGAACCACAACCCCAGCCCACATGTTTACTTTTTATTTTAAGCCACTGAGCTTAATTTTTATAAGAAAATGAAAAGCCAAAATTTCTCATTTTCAGAGAAATTATGATCTTATTCATTATGTTTTTTGGACCTTTTACGGATCATAGCCCAATGCAGTTTTTAGA